AAAAAAGTCAAATCCAAAACAAACAGCGCTTTAGCAACTGCGCTTCCGAAGGCAGATGATGGAGTTACGGACTGTGTTTCAAAAGCACACAAGCCGCCTACCTAGACAGCATTTCTGACGGCACACGCGCGTTCCAAATGCTGTCTAAATAGGCAGCTCACTAGGTTTTTAAACACAACCACATGCAATCAATTCCAATGTAATAAAAAACTTGTATAGAAAACAAATAATGGATATTATGAATACGAATATTACATCATCTATTAATTAGATAAGTTCTTTAAATACAGTCCAATATTAATTTCATTTACTCATAGGCCCGTTGACTGTAGGTTTAGCATGCTAGCATCATCAGCTGATAGTCTCTGCTGTATTATAACCTTTCTTTCATCCACACTCACATCTTGAAGACGAATTCACAGGGTCAGTTTTTAGCGGACATTTTCAACTGTAACTACAGGAAACATGTCAATTTTAGAGTTGTTTTAATTTTATCCGGTGGTTAATTCTGACAGACCGAGAGATTTTTTGTACCCAAACAATTTTTGGCCTGTTGACTGCAATCTCCGGGATGAAATTACTTTGTCATAATGTCTACCACTCACTGAATGAGAGGAAAAATAAAACACAGTTTTCTTCTAGATCTTATTCAACATTTTACGTTGAAAGCAGTACTTTGCCCATACGAAAATAGCAAAAATAAGTATATTTTAAATGACAGAGTACAGAATTCACGTTCACTTACCTGCACAGATCAACCAGACTGAGCCGGAAGTACCGCCTCATTTCAACCTGTGATTGGTCAGTGGGCGGAAAGGCGGCCGCTGATTGGCTGGTTTATATGTTTTTAGCAAGAGATGGGCTTACGAGTGAAAGTAAAAAACTGTAACTTTGCTAAAGAGTTGATTGTTGTTTATTTGTTAGATGTTATTGACTGTTTAATACATATGTACCAAGCACACTGTCACGTTCGAACTTAAATTAGGCCTAACATAAAGCTTAATATCGCCGTATCATTGTTAGCTGTCAGTCTCGCAAACGATTTTGTAAATGTCAACGCTTATCTATGGAAATAAATTATTATTATTATTATTAGACATTCATAATCACGTTACAAGTGCTGAAATCTTTAATTGTCCACTGAAGCGAGATCGATTTTATGTCACATATTACATTTCACATTAGTATCAATAACTAGCAATCATGGCATTTTCGTGTAAACCGTGGTAATTTTACAAACCTATGAACATTCAAAGATAGTGTTTAAGAAGAAACCAAAGTGTGGATCAACGTACTAGGCTTCGCATTTCCCTTCAATGACCACATCAGGACTTTCAGTCAAAGTTGTTTATTCTATTACTTTTAATTCCTTAAAATGTACAATACGAAGCATTTAGCAGAGATCAAAAACATTTTATAATAAACATGTTCTGGTAAAATAAAATCCATGAAAGACACTTTGTGCACATTTTCTATGTTCATCAGTATTGTCCTCAACAGCACCAACATTTCAGAAAATTGTCTCAAGAAGTCTGACCACTGGTCACTGTGCCATACAATAGTGCTGTTAATTTGGACACTGTGGTCTGGTTTCCTAAACACAGATGAAAGTGTGTCAAGTAAACCACCCCACCTATATGCTTATCATTTAATCAACAATGCTCTAATCAATGTCTTGCAGCTGGGCAAAAAACATGGATTTGGATGTTTTGAAGGTAGATAAGAGCGGAACAGATGAGTGTGAGAGTGACACATTTTTCAGATTAAGACAAAACATTTTTTTTTAAACATAAGTGCTTCTTGAGCATCAGTCACACACACAAGTTTTAAAATCTGGTGGAAAAAGATCGGCATAATCCAGAACTGGTACTTTCTAGTTAACGTTCAAAAACATTGTTCTTCTAAACAGATGGTAATCTGATAGAAGATATGCAGTTTACGTTGAAAATCATGCCAAATGCTTTTTTGATGTGGGCAGAAAGTGCTTTTTTTCCTCCCAGCAAATACGTTCCTTGACGAAAAAGGGAGGGGAGAGGAATCAAAGGACTACCAACTCTTACACAGGTCTTTATTCAGAGTAAATGCCGATAAAATAACATAAAAGGCCTAAGCATTAAGACAGGAACATCCATGAATGTCTGTGGCTCTTTTTTGAGTCTTCAACTGACAATTAACTTGTTGAGAAGACAGTGGAGTCATTGGCAAATCTGGGCAATTTGAGCTCAGGGAGAACTTGAATTCTGTCTGCGATAAGGGACGCCTGCCAGAGACGATGAGGGATGAGACAGGACCAGAAGATCAGACCGATGAGAGACCTTTAAGGCATGATGACGAGGGGGTGGAAAAAGGCAAGAACGAATGATGAAAATAAAACGACAGAAATGAGGAGGTACTGTTATTAGCAGCAGTTTGTTTTCCTTTTTTTCCTTCTTCCTCCTTTTTCCAGAGCTGAAGTCATCAAGTAGCCCCCAAATTGGCATTGTTTCAAAGTCCAGGGTGGTGTCGGGGGCTACAGAACCTCATCGCTCTCCGTGGTGTGGAGCTGCGTGTCATCAGCGTCCGTCATACTGCTCTCCTGTGACTCCACCTCCGCTGCTGAGAGTAACGAACAACATTACATAGTGCACACAGGGCCACTTAAATGGCTCACTGCGTAGTAGACTTACTTGAGTAGTAGGGATAGTCATCAGGAGTGACAGGTTCATCATCATCTGGGAGGTATCGCTTATCTATGGCCTCTTTGATCTGATTATTGGCCCCTTTAGGGTCCAAGTCCATGGCCCAAGAGAAATTCATTAGTGCCAGATGAGTCTGGCCAAGCTTCTTATAGACCTATATAGATGATGAATATTTTTTAGTAAAAGATATATTTGATAAAAAAAAACAAATATACACAGAAGTATACAACTGAGTTGTAGGAGTACCTTTCCTATTAAGAAGTAAACAAGGGACTCTTTGGGCACTATTTGTTTCAGTTCTTCAAGCTCCTGCAAAGCTGCCTGTAAAGAATAAATTAGTTCAATTTCAAAAAGATGGTTTCTGAAGGTAAATGTAAGATTTTTTTAGACCAAGTAAAGAAAATACAAGGAATACATTTATTGGAAGACATCAATATGGTGTCTAAATGTAAATGTTTTGCATTAGCAATGCTTCGAAGTTGCTTCGAACAGATCTCAGAAAAAAAAAGCTTATGGCTTGAATACCTCCGCTCCAAACCACCAGAATATGAAAATATTTTTACCTTTTGATCATACTGCAAAAAGTGATGTTCTTCCTCTGTATTTTTGTCTTGTTTTCCAGTACAAATATCCAAACATTCTTAAATTTGTTTGTTTTAAGCATAAATTCATTAAACTTTTGTTTTTTTAATTTGCATCTCAATCTCAAGTAAATGTATCTAAATGTATATTAGACATTTGTTTTGGAAAACAGTTTTTTTTTTTTTTTTTTTTTTGCAGTGCAAGCAACATTTAATGCCATGATTTTAAGACTTTCTGCTGCAATTTTAGACCTTTTGATGTCTTAATTTGTGAAAGCACGAGTGAATGCTGAATCTTGACTGCTTAATGTCATGATACAAGTTGGGGAGTACCTTGTACTTTTCATTGGCAAAGAGAATAGAGGCCCTATGGAATTTGCATAGCGGGTTCTTGGGGTCGATGCTAATGGCTCTGTTGAGGGTCTCCAGTGCATGGTCTGATTTCTTCAAAGCATGTTGAACCTGATATGGAGCACATGAGAAAGGATATGAAGATGCAGCAATGCAACAATTCAAGCAGAAGATGCAGCAATGCAACAATTCAAGCATCAAAAATTCGAACAGTCGGCACCATGTCTTTCACCTATTTATGTATAATAAACAAGTACATGTATGCTAGTCTGGCATTAACAAATTCAAAATAAATAAGGTCATGCAACAATCTTGCACTATTATTTCCCAAAGAAATGAGTGCTGTACTTTAGATTAATATTATTTTCTCTGCATTAGATTTACTCACCACTCCAATATGACAAAGCAGCACAGAGCTCTGAGGATTGATGCTCAAAGCCTTCTTGAAATGAATCTCGGCTAGGTTAAATTTCTCCTGCTTGTAGTAAATCATTCCCAAGCCGTACCTAAAAGACAGAAGAAACACTGAGCCTTTTAACCGTAAAAATGACAAGTGGCTTTCATAATTGAAACTAACAATGACAATATAAAATGAACAGTTTTATTTTTTCACATTTCTGGTGTAATTTAAAGTAGTGTCTCATTTCCAAAGCCAAAGAGTAGAGTCTGAACCGTACCAGGCATTGTAGTGACGTTTATTGAGGCGTATAGCATTGCGGAAGCAGCCCAGGGCTTTCTCCAGCTCCTCTGTGAGAACTAGTTCATGTCCTAATAGTGTGTATGCGTATGCAAAGCTGGGGTCCACCTGGATGGCCCTTGTGAAGAACTTAATGGCTATGTCATGTTCCCGCTGTAAGCTGAAACAGTTACCAGCTACACACCAGGGCTGTACACAGAGAGAGGAAGAAATAAACCATAAGTAAAAGCATTCAAGATCTGCAAACCCTGCTCATTTGCTATATTACTCCGAGAGAGGTACCTCTGGTGAGTTTTTGTCCATGTCAGTGAGATCTTTAGATAGGGCGGAAAGCGCCACATCCTTTTGTAAATGCCAGAGTGTTGTGGAATAGATCTCCATACCTTCCACTCGATAGCTCTCAATACGCCGGACTTCTGAGAAAATCCTCTCCGCCTGGTTAAACGGACACAAAAATTCAGTCTTGATTATCTTTTCTGCAATTCACTGTTTGAATCATTTTTTTGTCTCCATTTTCTACCATTGATAAATTCCTGCTAATTTCAACAAGCCCAAATCACCTGCATGTATTCAGCCAATTCAAAGTGAGCTCGTCCGATCTGACCCAGCACCCAGCCTGTGTTGTAGTGGTGTGAAGGCAGCTGACTCAAGATGTTAATGGCTTCTCTGCAGTTGTAAGAGCAGAGAGCAAGATAGCCCCTCCCAATATCCCGCATCAACGTCATTAGCCCATCTGAATAAAACAGAGGAAACAAATTCAAGTTTAGTTACATTTTCAAAATGCATCATATTTAATAATCCTAATAATAGGATTCACTTTCTTTTTAACAAATGTTATAATTTGTTTATAGTTCTTTGAAGTCAACATGAAACGGAAGTTGTGATAGTGTTTTCTTCTCTATTGTAACATCTAAGAGATATTTTGATTAAAGATTATGAGGGCACATGAATAAAAAAAAAAATGAGTGCACATAATAAAATGTATTATTTATATTATTATAATTAGTTAATTAAAATATATTATTATAATTAAAATATAAATACTGCAATATTTCATTAGAAAAAATAATTGTTTTGATTGCATTTGATTAGATTTTATTCCTTAAATACATCTTAAAAAGACAACAAATCTCAAATACCTGCAGCAGCCTTTTGTAGATTAAAAGCCTGGAACTGCGGTGAGCTGATGTTGCCTTTTCCTTCTGATATGGAAGAATCAAGCTTGAGGATCTCGATACTCTCATTCAGGTTAGATGGGGTGATTCCTCCCTTACCCGTTTTCGTTTTGGTCTTTCGGTTAGGAATCTTGGTGGGGAACTTCATTTTCAGCTTCTTGCTGTTCTCCTGTTCAATTCCATCATAACGAGTGTTGATAACACTTCCTCTAAAGAGTGGCTGAGGATTTTCAGGAGTGTATGCATAAACTTGTATGTGTGAAAGACAGTACCTTGGCAGTGGAGCTGGCACTGGTGAAGAGTCTTGAGCTCCGCCGTGGCTGCACATTTGGGGGAGCAGCAATGGTTGGGCTCAGCACTTGCGGTGTAGTACTACAAAGCAGAAAGAGATGTCATCAGAAGCCATTATCATCAGTTGCCTGTAGAAAAGTGTGGTGACATGTACCTGGTCTGTGGGGCAGTGGTCTGAGTTTGGTTGAAAGGGTTTGGAATGACCTCTCTGCTGTTTCCACTCTGTGCAAACACTGACTTCGTCCCCACTTGGCTGATTCTACTGACGGCCTGAAATGGCAAAAATTCTTGTTTTAAAAGACATCATTTATCATTTACAGTTTGATTATATACAGACTATTTTTGTCTAGTAAAACATTTTTTAATAAACCTTACATAAATACAATTTTGAAGATTTTATTTGGGCAGTTTGTATTATAAATAGGACACAGAGAGGTTTTTTCGCTCCCAAGCTGTCATTCACTTCAGCTGCAGCGCCAATGGTTAGAATGCGCAACGCTGCAAATCCAATGTTAAGGCTCCGCCATTATTATTGAATTTCATTAGTCAAACTTATTTATGCGCGTTTGTTCGCGGGAAAGTGAGCAAGACACGACAGTTACAGTATCATGATTATAGTTAAATAAGTGTGCAAATAAATAATACAATGCAACAATGACACGATTAGGCAAGTGACAATTCTGTCAACTGTCCCGAAATGCGAGTGAAAGTCTTGTATCACAGCGTGCAGCGGCTCTTGTAGCGCAGACAAGATGCGCCGATGTGAAGCCGTTTGATCACTCACGCTGTTTTCAAATGACTGATTTGATCAATCTGTGTGGACTGGACTCAGTCTGTAGGTTTGATTATTTACTCATCAAACCTACATGCTATAGGCTATTGAATAAATGTGTGAATATCCATCATTTTAAAGTCAAAAGCTGCGGGAATGAGTAAAACTATGCGATATAGCCTATGCGCAATCCCGCACCGAAATTCTGGACCTGATTAAACACAATTCTATTATACAGAGTTTTGTGAAATAGATTTCAATGACTTTTCCAAAACTTTCTGGGTTTATTTATTTTTCCAAAACTTTTCCAGGCCTGGAAATTGGTGTTTTAAAATTCCATGACTTTTCCAGGTTTTTCATGACCGTACGAACCCTGTGTAGATGTACGTTGATTTTATCAGATGATGTCACGATTATAAATCAGGATTTAAGGAGTTTAGTGAAAGTGATTCCTGGGTGATTCATTAATGGGTCGTGTTTAGTCACTATTTATACTTGTTTTATGTATGACAATAGAAAATATGTAAATGGGAACAGCTTTATTGGGCATTCATTTGTATTACAGTATGAGACAGATCAGATCTGAAGTGCCAAACTTGTCTGAATGCAAACTTGACGCAATGACATCATAAATATGCAAATTAATATGTGACGTCACCTGCCGCCACGAGTCTCACAAAATCCTGTGGGAAACACTGAATAAAGACACAAGGCTCATTTGAGATGAGCAAAATCTGCGCAGAACTGATCACCGCAAGATGCATGCTGGTTAAGAAATGTGTCAGAGGGCGGTCCGCCTTGCTCTGATGTCACGCTGACGTATGCCAAAAATCTCTTGCGACAGCGACTCAACCATGCAGTCGAGCACAGTTGCTCTCCCCCAGCTGCGCTGAACAAAAGCACGATGGGAAACGACTTGCTGACGGCACAGCTTCATTCTCATTGGCTCAAATAACCGTTATGTTGCGTTCTCTTCTAAAATATTAGATTTTTATATCTGGTATCATGTGTTTAAATTATGTGTGAATATTCACAAACACTATGGTATTGCGATCTCTGTGTGAGATGTGACTGTTGTCACATTTCAAAAAAATTCTAAACTACATGTTTGTATTAAAGTAAAAATGGATGATAAATACACCTTTTGAATGGAATTAAATAGCAAATACTTTGAGTGTCATTGTCTCATTGTATTTATTTTCATATGAAAGGAACAGAACTGAAATTATATCATGTTTATCAGCAACAGAGCATGAGTGTGAATAGCGCGATATCCGCCTGTAAATTCGTTGGTATCTGTTTCACTTCGAGAGGTCAGGACTGTCCATCTTGACTGCACTTATTTCACTCCTCCCCTCACTGCAGCCGCCTACTCTCGCCTATATTTCAGGGGAGGCTAGGTGCATCTCAAACGAGCCTACAGTCTACAGCATAGGTTTGGAGGATTGTGAGGTATTGAGTATTGTGAAATTTGAATACAACTACTGAAATTTTTGTATAGTAACAACCCTTACTCTAAGCTTTTGGAAGATATAAACATAGATATAGACACAGGGATATGATGATGATGAGTCATGAGTTATGATTAGTTATATTAATAATAATAGTTAGTCATTCATACTTGCTCAGTTCCACACAGCACTTGGCGAGGAGGTATTTGCATTGTGGCGTGGTGCAGCTGTGTCCTTTCAGGAGGTGGTAGGCCTTATACGCCTTCCCTGAACGGTAGTAGCACGTAGCCAGCAGGAAGAGCGCTTCTTCTGAATGGACTGATGAGGAAAAGAAAAAAGAAAAGAAAATTCAGAGGAAGCTAAATTTAAGGCCAAGCAAAGAAAATGTAACTTCAATATGCGCTCTAAATATAAATAAATGTCTTGTACATGTCTTTTCTTGTATTATTTAAATCTCAAAACTTGATTTTTAACTAAACTTTCAACAGATCTCAGGAAAAAAGAAAGCTTATGGCTTGAATACCTCTGCTCCCAACCACTAGACTATGGAAATTATTTTTACTGTACCTTCTGATCACACTGCAAAAAAGTGATGTACTTCCTCAGTATTTTAGTTTTGTTTTCCAGTGCAAATCTCAAAAAAAAAAAAATCTTAAATCAAGATACATTTATTTGAGAAGAAAAATGACAAAATTAGTTAGTCTTGTCTTTTATCAATATAAAGTGAGTTTATGGTTAAAAGAACAACAAATATCTGCCCAGAAAAATCGACTTCATTCAAAGGGAAAACAAGTTTTCATACCCCATTAACAGACATTTGTTTAAAGCATTATAACTCTCTTAATTTTGTTCAGTTTCTCAGAAAGCAAGACGTCATATGTTCAATTTGCACCTCAAGAAATTGTATCTCGATTTAGGGATGTGTAGCTATTTGTATTGGAAAACAAAATACAAATACTGATGAAGATATTCAGGTTTTGCAGTGCATGCAACATTTAATGCCACGACCTCATGACTTAAATTTCTTCTCCAAAATTTTTAGGCTTTAACTTGTGGCAGGTTGAATTAAGACTTTTTAAGACCTGCAGAAACCCTGTATAAAATTAAATTCAGGATTTAAAAACAACAATTTAAAAACCATTTATCTTTAGGGGTAAAATCAATAAAAATGTCAGCTTCCATTTCAAGTCACACAAACTTGTTTTAATGCAATGCCTGAAATGCCAGCTCTGAAAGACGAGGGGAAATGGAGGATGTTGTCTGCCTGTATGGAGGACGATTTGTGCAATTACCCTCAGCATAGAGTCTCTCTGCCAGGAATACTGCATCTCGGTAGGCGTAGTGGTTCAGAGCATGCCAGACAGCAGCCTATGGACCAAAACACAACTACTGTTACCTTCATCCCTTTTACAGTTGACGAAAAGGAGTATGCGTCACAACGACGATATCCCATAGCACTTTATGAATTAGGGTTAATGATTTTATTACCACCTGACAGCAAGTATACACTTCTGAACATCACCATTACAAATTAAATGGGCTCCCATATAAACAATGATACTGACTGCAGAGATTTTTACATTCATCATGTATATGAAATGATCTGCTGTCATGAAGTCACGTCTTGATCACAGTTTTAAGAAATGGTGAACGGTTTCAGACAGTATATACAAAGGCTGAAGATAAGGAGGGAAACCAGATGATGTTGACTGACAGATGAGATGCATTCTCTAGTTAGGCAGCTCGTTCTTCCTTTGAGACACAGCCAACATTGTACATACATTTGAACTGATGTCTGATGTTTTTGCCTGACAGACACACGCAGGTTTAGCAGATGTGCTCGAGGAACCATTGGCTAGCTGGTATTTGACAAAGACTTATTAAACCCACAACCTTTGACGTTTGTTGGCCCATTAAACACCATAACTTATACATTTAAAATCCAACCCTATAAGGAAATTATATGTTATGATTTTATCGCTGACGAGCTTCTATTTCAGACAACTAACCAGCTCCAGAAATTGCTAATGCACCAAATCTCTTCAAATGCACTAGTTCGTGCTAACTTATTCTTCATATATTGCGTGTTTGTGAATATCAGCCATCTCTGTAAATTCAACCCCTCAACCCCGCTGATATTTTAACACAAGCGTCAAAACAAAACATCACTATCCCCACATAAATCCCAATAAATCAGATAGCTGGCTAACCTGCAAGACAACACATTAGCTTCCTTGAAAACTACTAACAAACAAACTGCCCTGAATTGACAAGCACTGAGTTTATTACAACAGCTATTGTAAAATAAAATAAAAGCAATGTGTGGTATGTTTAAAGGCAGGTTTTGTGTGAGGTAAAGGGCAGAGGCCGTTAGCATTAGCTGCTAACTGAGGCCGCGGTGTAGCAGCGCTCAATCATCCGGTCTCTCGCGCTGGATAAAAGTCTTCTCCCGCAACTGGGTCCGCAACAGAGCGCTTTCACATTTAGCTCAAATACCTGGACAGGTTCCTGCAACACCGTCATTCCGTAGCCAGGCTCCTCTTCACCTCCTTTTTTGGTTTCTTTGCTCCTTCTTCAGTTGCTTTCTTAGCTCAGTATCCACTCCAGGCCAAAAGTAGCTAAACTAGCTTCGAAGATTTGAACATTCCAACCGTTATCGGTGAATCCGGAAATGCCCGAACACGACCGATTCAAATACATACTTTACGATAAGGGCCGAAGGTGCTCGGAAATTGCCGATTAGGAAAACTCAATTTTCGGAATCATAGGGCGAAATGCAGGTAAAACTGATATAAAATGCCCACTACGTATAGAATGTTGTGAAGTTTAGAAAAGTTTGACTTTTATTCTGAATAATAACACTACAGGTTTTAACTAATGACAGCCTCGCTGACTGTCTAAGCTTTAACAAATTATAATATTAAACCTCAATACAGCCCCATTTTTATGATATAAATAGGCAATTTCTTTATTTGTTTGTAAAACACAATCATATATAGTCTTTATGGGGACCAAATAAGCTGGTGACAATGCAAGAACCAGTTAAAAGTTATTATTGCACCCCAAATATTGAAAGCAAGCTAAACTAGCATAGCCTACTTTACCTAATCAGATATTCAGGTCGAGTAACACTATAACAATTACATGTAATAAACAATATAATAGTATGCGATACTATACTATATACACTATATTCTGATGGAAATGGAGAGAGTTATAAAGTGTTTCGTAAGGCATCATCATCTTCAGTCTCACTTTCAGTCCAAAAATTGTGCATGTGTGTGTGTTTGGTTTAGGTATAGGCTACGTTATGGGGACAAAATGTTCCTACAAAGATGGCAATATCCAAAAACCTTGTCCTTGTAGGGACACTTTTTTGGTCCCAATGAGGAAAATTATAAATCATACAGAATTAAGTTTTTTGATAGTCTAAAAATGCAGAAAGTTTTGTGTGATGGGTAGGTTTAGGTGTAGGGTTAATGGATAGTAAATACAGTTATAAAAACCAGTATGTCTATAGAATGTCCCCATAAAACACAGAAACCCAACGTGTGTGTGTGTTTGTGATTTGAGCTAAAGGAGCACAATTTATTCTAGGATATGACAAACGGTTTCTGAGATTTCTGTCTTTTTTTAATAAAAAAAAATAAATAGATGATGGACTTGACTGGAAATAGGTGAAAGGTGGGGCTTACCAAGTGGATTTGTCTAAGAAGGCACTGAAATGGTAAGCCAATCTGATCACATCAAACACCAATTCAAACACCAATTTGAACATAAAAAGTTGTTAGTGTAATTCAGTAACAATTACAAAAATCAAAACTACACTTCGCTACATTTTTATGTGGCTTGGTCTGAAGATACTTGATCAGATCACCACATTCAGTGTGACGCATTTCTCACTTTGAATTTCAGCCTGAAGAAGAGAATGAAAACACTAAGACCCCCCTCAAACAGAAACATAAATATGCACGTGTCCGTGAAACAGATGTCTTCTCAGATGTCTTTTCCCCCAAGGGGACATTTAGTGATTATGATATCTTGGCCATCTGTATTTCCCAAATGTCAGACAAGAATTCTAATACTGAACCGCTTATATAATCTTTTCAATGCAATGACTTCATGAGGGGGTTTCAGTCCAAATGCATGTCTTTTTAAAGGGTTAGTTCACCCAAAAATGAAAATGCTGTCATTAATTACTCACCCTCGTGTTGTTCAAAACCCGTAAGACCTTCGTTCATCTTCGGAACACAATTTAAGATATTTTTGATTAAATATGAGGGCTCTCTGACCCTCCCATAGACAGCAAGGTAACTACCACGTTCAAGGTCCAGAAAAGTACCAAGATGATCGACAAAGTAGTCTGTGTGACATCAGTGGTTCAACTGTAAAGTTACGAAGCTACGAGAATACTTTTTTGCGCAAAGAAAACAAAAATAACGACTTTATTCCACATTTTCGTCTCTACTGCATCACTTGTGGACGCGTGTTCCTTGTTGTCTATGGGAGGGTCAGAGAGCCCTCATATTTCATCAAAAATATCTTAAATTGTGCTCCGAAGATGAACGAAGGTCTTACGGGTTTGGAACAACACGAGGGTGAGTAATTGATGACAGAATTTTCATTTTTGGGTGAACTAACCCTTTAACTATACTCGTACAGCAGTGTCTTGCCAATGTATTAGTAGCAGTAACATGGCATGGCATTGCAACATTTGTGTGTTGTTTTTTTTGTGAGCTAGTTGTTAGTTGCTTTGTTATTTATGTGCATACAATACAGATACTGTAACAATATACTATATACAATATACATATACTGTACAATTAATGATTTACAGTTTGGGACTTTCCAGGAAGTAATATAACTTGTCTGATCCCCTCTAGGTTGACAGTATTGATTTTCTCATACTATGCTGACAATTAACTATGGCTTGATATCAATGATTGGTGAATTAATGAGGAAAATAATGTTGAATTTGCAAAAACTCAGGCATGTTCATTGGTTAAAGCATTTCCAAAATTTTCAACAACATATTTTCAAATCCATTTTATAAATGAAAAGTAAGATTGCTGCCCCAACAAACACTGAATTCCAGCAACTGTAGCAGAGTAAAAAAGACAGCTGGTTCAAAACATACAATCCAACAGACAAATATGCAATGTCAGGACAGTGTGAACTTGCCTTTAGAGTGGATGCAGATCTGCTCCATTAGATGGCACTAGTGCTATTCATAATGCATTTCCTTGTCTGCATCTCTATTCTGACTGTTCATATGCTAATTCTATACAATATCACTTTTATATGCAGAAAACATTGATCTATACAGATATTACAGACAAATACAGACATTTTATATGTTTTATGTAAGTATATTTATGTAAATATACTTACATTCAGATTTTGCATTTGGCGATAGATATGAGAATACAGTGGACACAAAGAGTGTGGTATATAGTTTAAAGGAGTAGTTAACACAAAAATGACTATTTGCTGAACATTTACTCACCTTAAGGCCATCCAAGGTTTAGATCAGTTGGTTTCTTCATCAGAACAGATGTGGAGAAATTTAAGGTTTGCTCAGCAATGGATCTTTTGCAGTGAATGTGTGCCGTCAGAATGAGAGTCCAAACAGCTGATTAAAACTTTAAAATAATCCACACGTAATCCACATGACTCCAGTCCATCTGTGTATCTATGTTTGTAAAAAACAAATCCATCATTAAAACATTTTAACTTAAAGCTGCTGCTGACTTTCAATCTGCTTGAACTCTTATTCTGACGGCACCCATTCACTGCAGAGGACTGGTGAGCAAGTGATGTAATGCTAAATTTTCCAAATCTGTTCTAATAAGGAAACAAACTTCTCTACATCTTGGATGGCCTGAGGTTTAAGCAAATAAAAAAAAAAAGAAGTATAAGGCTTTTCTTTATCGGAGTGTCTATTTACACTAAGTGCAAATAGCCCGTTGTTGGCAGAAGCTATTTACACCAATGTGTGATTGGGCTAGTCAACACTCCAAAAGACGATTGTCAAATAACAGCTCCAGTGGTGTAGGTGGTCAAGTGTGTATTGTAGTTATTTTTGACGCGATCGACCTGGGTTCAAATCCGCCTTTGCCAAACTTTTTTTTCTCCCTTTTCAAATCTCATATCACATCGGAAAGGCATTTATTTTCAATAAAAATGAAGGAAATAATTGAAAGTTGAAAATGTATCTGGTAGGGTGTAGGGAGGGCCTTATTGTCCCAATAAGGTGGCATTGGCATCCGTTTAAAAATTTGAATTAAAATGATAATTTACACATTATTATTGAATACTGTTTTATAATGTACTACAATACCGAGACGTAGACAACAATTTGCCACTATTTGCAATAAGTAATAGCAAAAAATAGAATAAAAAACAAAAAATAGTTATAGCAGAAAATCCTGCTATTATGTGTAAATAGAATCTATAGCTATTTGCACACAGTGTAAATAGCTAGCATATCGCATAAGAAAATACTGCTATTTTCACTTAGTGTAAATAGAATCCATTGCTATTTGCACTTAGTGTAAATAGCATCTATCGCTAAGAAAATATGCTAATTAGACTGAGTGTAAATAGCATCTATCGCTATTTACACATAGTGCAAATAGCTGCTACCTCTTTTTAGTTAAATAATGCATTGATATTCATTGATATTATGCAATGCCACTGAAGTGTTTAAGTTTAAGGGGCCACTGTATATTGGCAAATGCATTCCACTACTCCAGGCTTTTTTGAAGGCTAGATGCATCCTCTTGGGTCTAATAAAAACTTAATGAAAGTTCCTTGTAGATTGAAAGAGTATCTCAGATTCTGCGCTCTAAATTTACTCTCCTTAGTTAAAGTGACACACTTAATTGATTGGAGTTGGGATGAACTCCAGCACGCGATTGAGGATACTGGGATACGATCCTGGGGCACACCAGCACTGATGATGTGACATGCTCAGCTGGGATGATGTGACACTGGGTCGATAAGTAATTTAGCTGTGGTATGTTCAGCTGTGTGCTGCATTTACAACATTTAGATAGCGCAACACTTTTAGATCAGGTCTGGTAATTCACATGTGAACATGAGCCAAAACCAATGCAATTCTGCACCATGTCGGATTTAGAATGAAGTTGGCCTTCAAAGCGTATTGCAGTTTACTGCATTTTGAATGAAAGAAAAGTAGCTAGTTTTAAACATTACAATGTCTGCATGCATTCATTTAAAAAATAGCATTTTTAGCTGACCCGTTCTTGAATATTTTTTGTATAATATATTTTATTCATTAATATTAATCTTTAATGACATTGGAGATTATTTCAAGCCGTGTTCCTGGAAAATCCAGACTTTGTTTCCTCTGGTTTTTACATGTTTTACATCCATTTACATGTTACTCTACATTTCACTTGGTGGCACTGCAGAACCACGTTCGGCTCAGTCTGATGAGTCACTGATTCTGAACTTCGGCTTCTAAGGGTAATGGAACATGTTAGTGATTACCAGTTTTGAGGGTAAAGCATTACAAGTAATGCGAGTTACGTAATCAGATTACTTTTTTCAAGTAACTAGTAAAGTAACGCATTACTTTCCATAAAAAGTAACTAAGTACCATAATTAGTTACTTTTTTATGGAGTAACGCAA